TTTTTACATTTGGTAGAGTTCATTTGCTTCTGGATTCTCTTTATGTTAAGTTTTTGGTCACTGATTCAGTATTTTAAATTTTGTGGGTATATCCAGATTTTCTATATCTTTTTTCTGAGTCAATTTTAGTACTTAATGTTTTCTTAGGAATTTGTACACTATCGGGGTTATCTAATTTTTTGACAAACAGTTGCTCATAGTATTACCATATTTCTATTTATATTGGATAATTTGTCTTTTTTCACAATCATTCTAGCTAAAGCTTTGCCAATTTTGTTAATTTTTTCAAAGAATCAGCTTTCATTTTTTATTCATTTTTGTCTATTATTTTTCTGTTGTCTATTTCATCTAATCTTTTTTTTCCTTCATCCTTCTTCTTCTTAGACATTTTTGGATTTGTTAAAATCTTCAAATTACAAACAAGCTGTTACCTTCAATTTCAAGGTTAGAATAATTGCTTCACTTACTTCCAAGCTACAATCTCATTTTTTTTTTTTTTTGTGCGTGTGCCAGGGATTGAACCCAGGGATGCCGAACCACTAAGCACAATTCACAGCCCTTCTTTTTTAAAAATATATTTTATTTTAAAACAGGGTCTTGCTATGTTACTTAGGGCCTCCCTAAATTGGTGAGGCTGGCTTTGAACTTGTGATCTTTCTATTTCAGCCTACTGAGTTGCTGGGATTACAGGTGTGTGCCACTGTGCCTGGCCTCATCTTTATTTTTTTTATTTTTCGTGGGGATGAAATTTTAGAATAATAATACCTTTTTAAATGGAAATTAATGTACAGAACATCTTTGAATAAGAGCATTGGCTGAAGTAGCTATATCTGTAATTTTTTTCCTGCAGTTTGCTTATTTTTTTAGGTGCAAATCAAAGCAGTTATTTTGTGGAAAGTATAAGCCAAACAGTTAAGTCTGACACCTGGCTGTGAATTAAAATCAAGTGCAAAATCATTCTGTTTTTATATGCCTTGCTCCTTCTTGAGTTCACTAAAAGGAGTTATTTTAAACTTACTTTTAGTGAGTCATGACCTTTATTGATAAACCTCAACCTAACATGGATTAATTATGGCAGAGTTACAAAGTAGCCTATAGCAGTCAGAATGGAAATGGTGACTGTGAGTACCTTTAGTGGAACCAGACTATTAGATGTGGTAGGACTGTAATCCACAAAAATGATTGTGGAGCATCTGAAGCTGAAGAAATTGAGAAATTTCTAATATTGTAGATATTCATTCATAGTGTTCACTTCCTGCTTCGGACTTTTTTCAAAGAAACATAACTTTTCTAGAAGGATCATGAAATATATTCTTGCAAATTTTAAAACCTAATTTGGCTGTGACATGGGCAAATTTATATGACTTTGATAAAAGTTAACTTCTCTCAACCTTGATTTCTTTAACTATATAAGGAAAATAGTAACACCTGCCTTCAAGGTAGTTATATGATTTAAATTAAGGCATTATGTACATATATTTGCATCCATCTAGCATTGTGTACATTCCATTTAACTGCCTAGTTTTGTGCCTCTTATTTTTTCATTGAATCACTTTTTTCTTATTTATATGAGTGAAAAGATTAATTTCTCCTGAGTGATCAGGATAATCCAATTGTCAAAAGTATCTGATACTTAATTGTAGTCATTTCAACACTTACCATTTTTGTATGGAAGACAAATTGCCTCAGAGATTTATATCCGTTACTATGCACTTATGCTTCATCAGATATTCTTGTAAATATTTTACATACATTATAAGTTCAGTCTTTACATTCAAATGATAGTTTCCATTATGTTACCCATTTTATGGTCAAGAAACCAAGTTACTTGTTTTAGTCATACAGTTAAAATGCATGGTAGTCATACAGTTAAAATGCATGACCAGATAGTTGGTCTCCATGATACTTACTTTAAATATATGGTGCTCGGTTTGTGATTCATTGACCTGTCAGTATTTGGCATCGTTTGGAGCTTGTTAGAAATGCAGTTTCTATCCCTATTGTAGACCTACTGAGTCAGAATATGCATTTGTACAGGATGTGAAGTTCTCATATGTACATTAAAATTTGACAACTAGAGCTTAAGCCACTAATAAATGGAAATATGAATCCAGTCATGTAACACATATGTTTCTCACACGACAATTTAAATGAGCAATGGAATATAACACCAAAAAGAAAAAAAACCTAAGAAAATGAAGAAAACAAAACTTCCAAACTAAAAACTAAAATCAATGTGAAATACAGAGGAAATTACATTTAAAACAGGCACCAAGATCTATCTGGCAGCTTCTTCTATTGCAACTGAAAAAGATTTATTAGCATAAACCAGAGGAAAATTTATAGACTATCTGCCATGTTCTGAATTAAATTGAAGAAAACATGTATTCTGTTTTAAAAAAATGTCCATGGTGAAATGAACTAGAAGCCAACCTACCTGTCCTTGTATCTCAATCAGGGAAAGAAATTGAAATGGAAGAGATTATAAAACTGAGCTAGCACTAAGTCACCTGGATGTAGAGAGAGAGCTTGATGTCATGGTTCTTCTAATATAGTTTCAGGAAAACCTTAGTAAAACACTTAGCAAAGACTAAGGTTTACATGAAATTATTTTCATTTATTATTTAAGAGCAATGCAAATTCAACTCAGGTTATCAGGAGAAATAGTCTTTGTTTATTTGAAAATAAATTATCCTATTAATTCCATAAAAATAATTCTCAACATGATGTTTGTATGGTTATTAGGACAGCTAGTGAGAAAATCAGCTATACCTCTCACTTGTGGGGAGGTGGAACTGAAAGGAAAACACTCACTTTTAATCTCTGAAAGAATTAGGGTCTGCATATGCCCCTTCCAGAGACAGTGATATCTTGGATTTGAGAGTCTTTTTTGCACTTACAAGAAATTGGAAACACTCCAGTTTCAATAAAGTTAGGAAGTGATTAAAGGAGAATTTTCCTCTCTTTTGAAATAGAGTGGTGGTTTTTTAGGGAAGAGCAGCACAGGACTGGACTTGGGAACTTGAAAGAAGGGACTTCAGAAAAATGAATGGTTATTGAAGGGAGAGATTACAAAGGGAAATAGAATGTTCACTGTTGGGGACCGTGAACCAAGTCAAGATGGCGCCTGGCAGTTTGCCAGTTTGTGAGGCAATGCCACTGAGCCATTAAGATGGTGAGGATTCCTTATTGGCTGATTGCTGTATCTGGATGATGCTAATTGAGTCGAGCTGTGTGTAATCAGTTAGGTATATATATACCACTGTTGTTCCACAATAAAGCAGTTCCTGCTTCAAGTTGCTTGTCATCTCCTGGTTATTTTGCGCAGCCTGACTGCGGCAGTTCACATGAAAGTTCTTCCATGTTTGCAAGGTTAGCTTTCCCTTGTGTCATACAATGGAAAAATCAAATATAATAAACTTACAATTTCTGTTGCCCCTACACTGTGCTAGTATTTTGAGATATATACAAACTCTTAAGTGTGATTTTGGTATGAGGAAGATTGAGGATGGGATAGTAACTTTCTCCTAGTTACCTTGCATGAATTCCAGTAAAAGTAAAGATTTAAAGGCATCAGACATCCAGGCAATTTACAAGGTGGGACACTTTTAATTGAAAGCAGTGGTGACATCCATTTACAAGAAAAGACCCTGGTTTGCTATAAGACTGAATTACTCAGGTTCTTGCCATATGTAACCCTAACTAGAAATTAAAGATAATTGAAGAGCTATTTTTTTTGCTCATTTATTTAAAGTTATACTACATTAGTGTATACATAACTTTGCATTCTCTTTTTTGTTTTTGTTTTGGATACTCATTTTCTTTAAGGCTAGAATACATATAGAAGGGAGCCCAAATCTTAAATAGGTTTCATCATCTATTTGTTTGAAGTAAACTCGTCTATGTAACCACTATTAAGAGAAGATAGAAAACATATCCAACATTCTGGAAGTATCTCTCTGCACCTTCTTCCTCTAGGCATTACTTCTCTGGTACAGTTTACATCTGGACTGTCACATAAGGGTCCTTGCTAGTGGGAGGTATCTAGATCAGTTGGAGTATGCCCTTGGAGGGTATAATGGGGCTCTACTCTCTTCCCCTTTCTCTTATTTGCTCCTTGGCCATAGGTGAGTGGATTCCCTGTACCACACATTCTTGTCATGATGTGATGCCTAACCACAGACCTAAATGTATTGGAACCAACAGATCATATACTGGAATTTCTAAAACTGTGATAAACCTTTTTTCTTTATATGTTGACTATCTCTGGTTTATGTTACAATGATTGAAAGCTACTGCACTCCCAAAGAGTTAGCTGCTTGTCTATAAGCCTGTATTCCTTTGCCTATTTTTAAAATATTTATTTTTTTGTTGTAGTTGGACACAATACCTTTATTTATTTATTTATTTTTATGTGGTACTGAGAATCGAACCCAGGGTCTTTCACATGCTAGGGGAGCACTCTACCAATGAGCCACAACCCTAGCCATACTTTGTCTATTTTTGATCATTAGTATGAAATAAATAATATGTACTCTTTTGCATCTTATGCTTTTTAAAATTATTATTATAAATCATGTTGTTTAATTATTATTTTTCAATTATTTTATGATATTCATATTTTTGCTATTTTAGGTAGTATTGTTGTGAACACTTCTGTATATGCATGTTTGCAGTTTTAGAGTAGAGTTGCTAGGTTGAAAGAAAAACATAGTGTGATTAGATATTTCCAAACAGTGTACCAATATGCCTTTACCAATTTTCACTCCCATTATCACAATCTGAGCATTCTGGTTGCTCTAAGACTTGCTATTGACAGCTGAAAAATACACCATCACAAAACTCATAATAACAATGATTTTTTTTTATTATTGTTCATATATCTACAGGTGGTCCTACAGATAACTGATAAAGGTTAGGTTTTCCTGAATAACTCTGTTCTAAACAGTGCTTTTGGTTGAGGTTGACTACTTACTGTTGGTCTGTTCTGTTTGTGTTTATAGGAGCACAGACCAGAAGATGAAATGGAAGAAGTTTCTCTGGGGAAGCTTTTCTCACATAGATTGTATAAGTATATGAGAACTAGCACATAGACTCAAAAACTGTTGCCCCATTACTTTTTATTTGCACCATTAGTTCTCATTCCGTTCTATTGGTTGAAGCATTCCACAATGCCAAACCCAAGCTTAAAGAGCAGAGAAATATACACCACAGTTTTAATGTGAGTACTAAAGCCTGCAATGCATTCTAAGACAATAATTTATTTATTTTTTGTTATTCTGTTTGGGGTGTGGTAATGATACACTGTGTTTTTAATCTCTCTGATGATGATTGAATTTTAAATTTTTTATAAGTTTATGTCTACTCATGTATCTTCTTTTTTTTAAAGAGAGAATGAGAGAGGAGAGAGAGAGAGAGAGAGAGAGAGA